CAAAGCAGAAAAACGAAGTAACGATCTACCGGAAATCTACGACACGTAACGATAGCCTAGGTAGTTCTGAAAGTCGGTAAACTATTAGGACAAGAAGAAGTTCTCATCCAATTTTGAATATTCTGAACTCTTCCGCTTAAAAAGTTCGCTCGTGAGGAAAGTTTTCAGCAGTTTTCGGGAAACTGCTGTGCTCACGTAATTGCTCTAATCACCACCATCACAGCGAGACGCCAAGCTCAGAAGAAAGCAGTCGGTTTAACAAACAAAGTCCTTTCTAAACTTTTCGCGCTCTCGTTTTTTCAAACCGTGAACCTTCCAACAAGTGTTTTTCTCAAAGAAATACTTTGATTTGCCAGAGAAAGGCGCATTTTTGACAACACTTTTGCATTACTAAGATGGTGTCCTTTCTTCTAAATTTTCTTCGTGCCTGAATTTTGATTCAATTTGAGACTGCATTCCTTCATTCTTTTGTTTAAGAGAAGCTTGATTTCTCCTCTAAAATTTCAAAATTTGCTATGGTATCTTGCAATAAAAAAGAAAAGGTCCTCCGGAGTAAATTCCATGAATTCTTAGATTTTCTTTGAAATCGACTTCAAATGTGGGCATACAAAACTGCTATACCTTGAAAAACCATTAGTTAATGGAGTGCAGATGTTTTCTGTGGTAAATTTTTAAATCTCTTGAATATTATTGTAGCTAAGTATAACAGCAGTTGCTGAGAGGATACCGTAATTATTTCCTTGTTGCCCTACTCTACAAAATCAATGCCTGAAGAAGGCGAAGAACTTGGCGAAAATACGCCTAGACGAAAAAGGGGACTCATCATCATGCTTATATTGAGGATATTGATAGCCATTAAAAGTTACTAGGTGGAGGTCAAATTTTCGGTCTGTTAACCACCTGATATTTGAAATCATATTGGGCTCATTTGAAACCCACTCTTAAGCAGCATTAGGTTTATTCGCTCGGTGAACGTAATGAGTTTAATGGTCAGCCTACTGATGCTCTCTTCTGAAGTCACGTGTCACAACTTTCTTCCCAGAGTATGTGGTCCAGCTATTAGTGTAACCCAGTTAGGCAGACGATACAACATTCACCCATCTCGTTGGCAGTGCCCATAAAGGTAGCTCTGTTTTTCTGCCCACGGCAAACTGGATGATTATGGCTTCTTTTAGAGCGAAGGCGGCCCTCGACATTTTCCATTACTTGCCAAGTGTTCGCACTTGCGGAGAATGTATGTTATAAAATTTTACACGACTTTACAGTTTGAATTAGTCTGTTTATCATTGTATTCTTTCAACTCAAATGTTCTTTGCAAACTCTGTCTTTTTTCAGTCCTTTGTTGGTTGACCTTTTTTCACTTGGAAAACACAATGGGTCCGGCATTTCTTAAGAGAACATATTCTTCAAAAGTTTGTTAATTTGGCCATAAACATGCTTGTTTACTAGAAAGTTGAATATCTTTCGAGAAATGGCTCTATTCCCGTGTCAAAATAGGATTTTACTGCTCGTTTTGCATGGACATCAAAGATACCTAATATGTCTAGTATTAATGCTGAAAATTCTTAAGAAGTATTTCTCCGGATGTCATTAAGAGTTTAGTTTCGTGATTTAGGGCTGATTGACTTGCACTTTCCTTACAAATGCCACCGTATCCTTGCATGAATCTGTTTACGTCCACGTCCACGCAGTTTGAAATCCTGTGTGTTGATTTGTTCAGAAACCGGAAAGCAACTGGCTAGAAAGTGCATAGAAGGCGATTTGGTGTCGTCTCCAAGCAATAAAAGCAAACCTCTTTCCTTGAAGAACTCGAAAATCTGCCCACCTCTTCACACGAGAGTTGTGGGCCCTCTCACTAAAAACGACAAAGAAATGTAATAAAGACACTTCTGCACCAAGTTTGATCACTCAGATCTCCATTGCATTAATAGAAAACACTGGGTAGCTTTGACCCTGAGGTGAATAGAGGCTTACCTTTTCCCCTCCGATTATTTAATGAGATTACAGATGGTACTGCTGCATGGTGCTAAAAACGGGGAGTCGTTCCTTAGTATTTCCACTGACTTTATGAACTAAGCGGTTGTTTGTTCCGCTTTATTTTTGCTTTCTTAGCAGCATCATTTTATTACGAAATGATTTTATGGCCTGAATTCCAGAACCGATTCATTTGAAAAAGGAAAGATAAGGAGCAGAGATGTTCATAAGTGGCACAGCTCTTAATACTTATGCGTCGTAGCGGCTGGCTTGCATGCACATAACGTATTGACGGCTCTACACATTTCTCATTCAGTAGTTCTTTTTGCGGTTAAGTCCATAGTATGTTTCGAATTCTTCATTTTTGCACGCACCCTCTATATGGTTCATAAATTTTTTAGTAACTGCGAACAGCTCAGAAGGTGTTAGCCACACCCACACCTAAAACCTCCACACTTTATGGGTGGTTGCCACATAGGGATTTGGCAATAAAAATACGTTTTATATTGTTAGTTCATTGACATTCAACTTAATATCTCAAAAATTTTTAGATGTTTGGATTCATTTTCTGTTTCAGTTATGTCTGAGGGTAAGGGAGTACGTCTATTGGAAAACGTACTATTTCCACAGCCGAACTTCATTAAAAATATTTGGACAACTGGACGATCCAAATTTATGAAATCGTCGAATGCAGCTGGTTGATATGAGGCATGCACGAATCCACGTGTAGGTAGCCTTCCTAGAAGGCACTTGAAACATCGTTTAAACATTTTGTAAGTAGGTTGTAACGTTTGCGACGTGGAAGTGGTGTCAACATATGCCTCGGCTACACACCATGATCCTGCAAAGAAAATACAGCTCTTCTATCACTCCTTACAACCTCCACAGAGAAAGTGAGCCAATGGAGTGAGACAGTATTCTTTAAAACTGTCCAACAGTGAACTGCAGGTTATAGTGATGATTTTTGATGAGGATTAAGCTGAAACACGTATTAATGGAAAATTTCTATGCCATCCTTGTTTAGCTGATAATATCATCTTCTCATGAATATCACTGAAGCATCGAAGGAGATCCTAGCGAAGTGAGGAAAAGGACAGAAATGCGAATAGATCGGAACGATCGGAATCGGTTCTTGAATTTTTTGATCAATTAGTGGTCACCTTCGACATGCTTTTAGGCCGTCTACCATGGTAGGAAGAACGCATACTGTAGAAAAGTACGATGGAATGATGTTGAATTCAAATTTCCTTTGAAGCGACTACCTAAATATTGTGCCAAGATGAATGCGGCTCACATCATTCATGTTCTAGCAGTTGGAACCGACTTGAAAATGTCAAAACGATGATCCTTGCATTTGTCGTCACTCTCATACAGTCAAACTACCATTCCTGTACTTGCGAAGACCCTCCAAACATCTAAGTATTTGTGACAAAATTCTACTCTAGATACAACCACAATGTTACTGAGGTATTTTCGAAACTCCGGACGGCAGGTGTCTGCGGTGGGGAACGAACGCGCTATTACCCTTTCAGGGGATTAACGCTTTCGCTACCACATCACCGTGCGGGTCCTTCGTTTCGCCTGTCTCTCAGCTAGTTCTACTGTAAATGTGATATTTTCCTGGTCTCATTTCCCTTTTTTCTTTACTTTTCACTCTTTAACATCAGTTGTAGATAGCATCAATGAGCAACGACATTTAATATCAAACATTCTTTTTAATTATATGAAAAAGTAGACGCTTTTTTGGCCAACAGAGGTTGAAAAGTAACGTGAACTAAAAACGAACCAGATCAGGCCTAAGTCTTTTTCTTTCATTCCTTCCGGTGACTTTGATTATAACGACAATTCAGTGGCGTAATTCTCTTGCTCGGTTGGCAATTTTTGTCCCTTGAACTCTTTCGAAGCATAATCTTTGTTTTAAATTACTTCTATAACTACTATTTTGTCTCAGAAAAGGCTTTCCTTGAAAGCACATACAATTCGACTTAGCGTTCCAGAATTGAATTTCCAGAAATTATTTCTTGGTATTGGCCGATTAAGCACAAAACAACCTAGACAGCTTTCAGAGTTGAATAACAAGGAAGTTTCTTGCTTAGACGTCATCACTGAATTCTAAATGACTGCATCTTCAGCACTCCACTTCCTCTTGGATTGGGGGTCTTAACAAGTGGACTTAAAGTGTCAGAGCCTATTGTTCAGCTAATGTGTACTATAAACAAACTACATTGCTTATTACGTGATTTGAGCGATCAAGTGGAAGGAACTGAACATATCACAAAAAAGTTTCTGTGTATTTGTGAATAAAGGAGCAAGTTTCGGAAGGAATGTAGAGGGAGTAGTGCAATTAAAGGACGATAATCACTCAAGTCTGAGAGAGTTTTTGAACTACCGACCAATCCCTGGTCGACCGGGAACAATACGGTAGTTCATAGAGCATATTCTTTCGTCTTTCATCACGCAAACAAATACTCTCAATTCTGTTTTTCTTTGTCGCGCATGAAACTTGTTGATGGACTAACGAAGGCAAATTGGTGGGTGTTAGCAATCGAATTCGCCCCCGACGCGCTCTGCTGCTTCGATAAGATCGCTCTCGGCATTCTTTCTGAGATGCTCGAAAAATCTGCTATCCACGACCTACTTAAATGGTTTTTATTTTTTTCAAGCAGTTACATGTGAAATGAGTCGGTTTCTAACAAACTTAGTAACTCTGTGTGCGTAAGTGGAACGCTGATTGATTGCTCCTAACAAATATTAATGGGTTTAGAATCATCAACCATGCGTATTTATTAAAGTCTCTTCGTGATAAAGTAATTCTTCGTGTTCTTGTTGAGAATACGATTAACGTTCTATTATTAGAATATTCCTGTTGTTATTATTGTTGTTGTTGTCGATGTCATTCTTCGTATTTATTCTTCGTGAAAAATGAAACTCTATTTTAACACTGTGTTTTTCTTAATCCTATCGGATTTAATTAGACCTTCCAACCATGGAGGAATTCTATACTCTCTGTACCGTAATTTTAGCCAATGTCTATTACTGAAAATTTAAAATTCGCAAAAGAAGTGGAACAGATCGAAGCCGAACTCGGCGAAGACCATTTGGTTCGAATGCTGCAGTACCTCACTTCGGATTCACAGGAAGCCAGTCAAGGTCTCATTGAATTGCACACACAGGTGAAGCCACAGTGCTTAATTTTTCCCACATTTTTTTCGGAATTACATCTTAAGATTGTTTTAAATTTGTAGGGCTATAAAGATGGACGAAAGTAAAATGATTGTTGCTCATGGTAGCGTCGTCCAAATGGGATTTTTAACAAATTTCAAATTTTTATTCATTTTTTTTGTATTTAGTGTCAGGAGGTCATGTCGAAATATCCATCGACGAAGACTCAGGATGAGAAAAGGAAGACGGATTCCCAAGGAATATTAAAAAGTATGATACTTTAGTATACTATATTTGTAATAAGCCTATGGTAATCGGTGGTGATGAGATGATTATGGTGACATTTAGTGATATAATTTCCTTCGACATTCAGTGATGTATTTCAAAGTTGAATTGAACGCTGAATTTTGAATTGAAGTGATTCCAGTCTCAAACACTATGCTGGGACCATCTCGTCATGGTCGGCGGCCTTGAAAGTATTCCAGTGGAATAGCCTTTTTTGGTTCTTTGTTTCTGTTTGAGCTTCTTAATTAGTATATTTATTTTTGAATTTCCTGGTCAATTGAAAATGCACTTCTACAAAAAGCCGAGGAATACTCGGAATGGGAATATTGCATGCACGACGTGTGCTCCCTATCAGAGCACCACAACTGGAGTTGGATACGCTGGGTCTGGGCGGCGTCTTCAGTGAAAGGTGCTGATTTGAACACTCGTAGGTTTGATCCTAATGACCAGGAAGTGCGATAGCTTCGCATCTGAACGGCAAGATCACTTCTTTGCTTTTGAGGGATTGTGGAAAGCATTTTAATGGCTCATCTCGTCGTCCCATCTCAAATGACCAAATTTCAATAGAAATACAAAAAAAAACTGAAACTGGTTTGAAGGTTTGACGGCAGAGACTCTGCTGTAGATGAATACAGAAACCCACAAATCAATACAGTTTTTTGCATTATGACTTTCAGAGTAACTGAAAATATTTTTCACTACGATTTTCACACTGACAAAGAAGTATTTTCTTTCTGGATCCACCAAATCTGCTCCAGTCATTTATTGGAAATGAGAAAAAAATCGAAGCAGTTCATTTTCACAACATGAAGTAGTCTATTTAATTGATTCAATCAGCCATTTTTTTTCAGATGAGGTCAAAAAATCAACGACAGGTCGTGCAAGGAGGGTTGAAACTTCGGTAAGTACAGATTTGTACTACAGATATTTTCTAGTTCAAGGCAATCACTTGGCGATGTTGTGCACCACTACAATTCCTAACTTGCATAGTATTCGGTAAACTTGAACGAAAGGTAACAGCACGAAAAAATCGCCGGTAATCTTTAAAATAAATTCCGAATATTTCACACAGTACTCTGCCGTGAAAAATTATAGTGGATAGTAAATAAAAAGAGTTGAAATTGTGTTTTTGGCTACAGCCGCAGCTTAACTGGTTCCAATGCCGATTTGGACTCCTAAGATCAATCCTATGTACGGGTGATTGCTGATGACACTGATAGATAGAAAACTGATTGATCCTAATGACCAGGAAGTGTGATAGCTTAGCTAAGGACATGTGACACGAAGAACCCGTATGATGTGGTGGTGTACGCGTTAGCCGCCAGAAAGGGTAATAGAGTGTTCAATCCTAACCGCAGACATCTATAGCCCGGAGTATTACAAATATTTCAGCATCATTGTGGTTGTGTTTTAAATAATACCCTGCCGCGAAAATTTTAGTAGGCTGTAATCAAAAAGGTTAACAGTTAAGTTCCGAATTTTTCTTCACAGGACGAATTCAACACTTGTACCTGAAATACCGCGAATAGGTAAACCTCCCTCTGCCACAACGAATCCTGCGAGCTATCCGTGACTGGTTTTCCACCAATAACAGTAAAATAATTGGTCATCGTAGCAAGACTGTACTGCTCTTCGTTCTCTTTTAAAAAAAAAAGAGATTCCAATGGATAACAGCAGTCTACCACGAGTAGGCATCGAGCCTGTACTGAATCCGCTTGAGTTCTTCTACAGTTAACGGGATTCTAAGTGGCGCGAACGATGACAGTCGATGAAAAAAATCGTCAAAATACAACTATGGACTATGTAAATAATGTTATGATGTCGTAAAGTTGTAATTTCATCGACGAAGAAATTAAGCAACAGTAATTGTAATGGTAATAACAATAGAGCGCTCAGAATGTGTTTCAGAAACCACGAATTATGACGACGAAACGCAAACAATGATGGACTTCGTTGAATGTTCGGAAGACCCCGGTCGCCTTAAGTTGATGTTGAGCGCCATTTCGTTTCCATTCCTTAGCTACCATAATTTTACACATGTGCTTAGTGCTTACACGTGGTCGATCATAGAGTTTGTCGAACACATGATTCCAACGCGTGTTTTGAACTGTGAAGGCTTTTGTTTTTTTCAAAGCTTAACGATTCTTGTTTGAATAGATGTTTCACATGAGGATACCATAATTCTATTCAAATATCTACACAATGCACGTCGTCTTATAATTCCTTGCGAAGAAATAAAATTAAGAAAAAAAGAAAAACTGTGAACCCTAGCATTGCACGTTGTGAGGTGTTTCATGAATTGATAATGTCTAGATGTGAGTTGAGCTCACGTGAATTGCTAAGAGTTGAAAAACTAGAACTGAATTGCTAAGGGGAAAACTAAATCGGTACTTAATCCATTCCGATTTCCTTTGCAGTCGATAAGCCTTGAACCGCTACGCTTAAAGTGCTTTTCGAGGCTCAGTGGTACTATGTACCCGACTTCGTAGAGGAGATTGATTACATGACTGGGCTACACAATGACTTTTAGATCTTAGCTATCTAAGAAGTCAGTATTTTTAGCTTCTGTAATAAATCTGGTTACAATTTTCTGACGACAGTGTGATGGAAAGCTTAGTTAGTTTACTCGAAGTATGGGATCGAATCAACGAGCAAACGTATATTGCAAGGCACATGTAACCATTACGTTAGATGAGCCTGGCATCTTGTACTCCATAAAGCTCGCAAATTTGTGTCTAAATTCGGTTGCAGACTATCCACGCACTTTCTTTAGTTCATCGATGTAGCACAACGTAGATTCTTCGTTTAAAACTCCTTCTTAAAATGAAATTAGATTTGAATAGAGGTCTAAAAAAAACGAAATAAAATGCTAAAATAGAACTAAAGCGTTTGACAGTCTACTAACCCCAACACTAACCATCTAGCGCTCGAATTCTTAATGAACACGAGTTCAGCAACGCAAATTTCCTTTTTAACGACTGATATTTCTGCGAATATACGAAGCTGAACAGAATCAGAGAGAACAGGCACAGAGAACTCTCAGTTAGCAAAAAACGAGCGGATAAAATTTTCTTGGTTTTCATTCCGATCTATCACAACTAAGTAGGAGCTAATCAGTATTTCTTATAACTGTCACACCTTGTAATTCGCAAAATAAGAAAAATTCAGGACACCGAAGTAAGAAGTGGGAAAGCAAAGAATTGATTACATGAAAAGTATTTTACTGAAGGTGGATTGGTTTTAATATTATGGAATAGAGGATGAACCGTTTGATGTTGACCACGTCATTGAAAATGCACTGTTCATTCGACTCCATACGTGGTAAGGTCGAAGAGGTAATGTAATTCGTATTTCCCTGTCCAATGATTTGCGATAGCCCACTGATTTGTCAAGTCAGTGTTTTTGTCTCTTCGGTCTGGTTTGTCATTAATTTGCCTATCATATATGTGGTCGGCTTGGCGGATGTGGAGGATCGAACTTGAGACCACGCCCCTCTAGGGCGCCTATAAAAACTGTACCATATGTGACTCTTTTAATATGGGAGGAATGATATAGCGTCTACATCTCAATGTACTGTTGCTTGGTTGGTGTAATTATTTAATCAACATTTATGAAAATTTTTTATGCGGTATCATACTGGATCGAAAGATGGAAAGGTCCACTAGTCGTAGAGACTAGAGTGAGGAAAGCGCAGTGGTAATAATTCCGCTCATTACGTAGATTATTCAACCTACTGTGACTTTGGTTCGATCCTGCATCAAGCCCATCAAGCTTCTCATTTCTCTTGGGACGGCGTATTAGTCGACTTGTCTTGGACAAAGCCCACTCGCTCTAATTCGCATGGGAACGCTCCACCATGATTTTCTTAGGATTTCTGCGAGTATAGTTCCGACCAGCATTCAACGATATTCGTAAGGAAGATAAAAGGATAAAGGACGAAGCAATTGGCATTGATCAATCCTGAGGAATGTACTATACATTCGACTTATTAAGCATCGCTTGGAGGTGATTGAAAGAATATCTGGCCTTTACATGACTCGCGGTAGCCTGCCGATGTATCGAGGCAGTGCTGTTATTCTCCCAGACAAGTGTGGTACCAATTTTCCGACCCCGGAGGGATGAAAGACTTGATGGGCAAGGAGCGCAGGAATCAATCCCATGCATTGCAGAGGGCCTCAGCTCACTGCTCCACGCCCACCCTGTAAGGAAGACAAAGCCCTAAAATATCAGCCGAACCCAGACAAGTGAAGTTAGTTTATTCTAGCGGCAAGACTAGTCTTGTGGGAAACAGCTGTAATGAAAGACGCTCCTTCATTCGTGTAACACTCAACTTTGCTCGGTTCTACTCGATGCAAGAACGAAAAGCCACATCTCGAGAGGAAGCAACTGCTGTAGACAGTCGACGCTATCCACTGGCGCTCTGAAGGAGGCAAAAGCGTCAGAACCTTTGCTCCCTATAACAATTTCGTCTTTTATTTTACGAGTAATATTCAGAAGCCAAACTTTTCATGAGTGGCTCAGATCTACGGCGTTGTACGATTAGGCTACCTGTGGCCACCTATTCATCAAAAACAATGAAAATAAGCACCTATTCCTAAGAGCTCCTCACTAACCATGCTCGGTGGCCATGGTGCATGACAATGAAGAAACAAGACCTTACTGGTTTTTCCCTCTAGTACCTAGATGATATTTGGGATCACTGCACGAACAAAAATTTAAGTAAATTCTTGGTTAATCTAGGTATTCAGAAAAACATGAGACTCCTGGGCTTAATTCGCTGAATGACCATCTGTCAGGTTTACAGTTACATTTTATTGGTAGAAATTAAGAGATTTTCTATTGCTTTATGTCTTCACTTAAAGTGCGTCATATTAATAATGACATTTGCTTGAAAATACGGTTAGTTTTGTTTCTGGCCGAGCCAACATCATAACCAATGATTTTTGCAGCGTACCTTTAGGAGGTTATTGTATCACTTCTGGATTGCGTAAAACAGAAC